AGAGAAGAAAAGCATTCAACGTACCTGCGCCGCCGCAAGCGTTCAAGGACCTCTTTGTCGTGCTCACCCACAGATTTGCCATTCCTGGTGGTCAGCGTGAGTGGAGGAAAAGAATCGATGATGAGCCGGGGCCTGTCGTCAACCCGGTCGCCACCCGAGGCCCACCACCTACGTCGCTTTCCCGCCCACGGCTCTGCTTTTGGAGCCTGCCATTCTGTCTTTATAAGCCGAAGAAGGACTCAAGCTTCCTGGGCCTGGTAATGGAAAGGAGGGGAGAGAAGGTGATGGGGAGGTGCGTATCCGGGCGGATGGCAATCGACGGTTGAGACGACCACCTTCCGAGCGGGCTATACGGAGCCATTCTTGTGCCTTCCGCGCTGCCAGCGTCTCCTCTTCCATCATTGCTTCTCTTCCTTCTCCTTCCGCCCCGTTCGCACCGTCGATACGAACGCTTCCTCGGCTCATGGGCGTCGCAAAAGGGGAGGTGGTGCGAAACGCGCTCGCATGCGGAAGAAATGCCAAAGCGCAGAGGAATAGGAGAGAGCGCGATGCCTTGAAGCTACAAAACTGATAAGAATTTCCTTCACAGATTCCATAGTGGGATCTTTTGTTGGTGGTTGATGCGTGACAAGTAAGACAGAGGACTCTGAGGAGGACGGCGTAAATTGGGGAAACACACCGGTACAAGCACTTAGGACAGACAGGCTCTTACCTCGAATTTGCATTCCTTCTTCTCCTTCGCCTTGGAAAGTATGCACCCGCGTCAATGCCTTTTATTGTTGACCCACCTTCCATACTTCTTCTCGCAAGGATGGTAAGTGATGTCCCTTATCCCTTGACCCTTACTATCCCGTCATCGAATATGGAATCACTCTCCACCGCTCACGGGCTATAAACCTCTAGGCCAGCACGCAAAGCGTTCACAACCTCCAATCGACAGCTCTCCACCTACGAATTTGACGAATAATTTGAGAGTAATGAGAAACGAGATTTCCCGGTCGGTTCGACACGGGATCCCTAGATTGGGAATGACTAGGGAATAGTTTGCGACGCGGGCCCTACCAGAGTAGCCATCGGCCCATCCGGGGGGATATGGTGTTCACGCTCTCGTTATCTCCGTTGCATCTTTATATAAGGTCAGTAAGACGCCGTTTCTCTCCCCATTGCTTGATTTTATCACATTATTTCCATTGCTATCGAGTTCTCTCATTTCTCTCTACCTCGATCATCTTTACTGTGAAATTTGCTCGAAGATTGACGAGTCGCAATATGTGCCCATCATCACGCCAAAAATCCAAACACTTCACATCATCCCTGAAATTTAGGTTAGACTTTGGGTCATTGCTATTCTTAAAATATCATACAGACAAATGTCGTTGACTACATATCCAATCACGCTCACGAACAAGTGGTACCGAGGTCAGAGCAGGTCCCTGTACTAGACGGAGGCCTGGGAGGCGAGAAATACTCAATCAACGCTCTGTTGCAACCATTAGAAGGGCTACCATCGAATTTTGAGCTCCTGCAGTAAATGATACGCTGTCACTTGTGCTTGCAGGGATATGACGCCGTCCAATCAGGATGATACATGTGTGACGTAATCCAAGACATCTTGTTAGAGAAAATACGTTGATAAATTAGTGAAGCAACAGCCAACTGAAGTTTTCCATCATAAAGCGATCACGCTGTGAAAGTTTCTTTTCGTCATAATATTTTCTGAAAGTTGCTCTTCTCTTGTCGAAAGTCAGTAGACAGCTTCACGAATTTTCTTCGCTCAACTTCACATGTCAGTCATTGCTCACAATAATTTAAGTACAAAAATTCAAACAAAGGCTGCTGAAAGATCTATTACAGGGTGTGTGATTTTCTTTCTGCTGCCTGCACACACCAAGAACCGAACTTCTCTTCACTTCGTTTTTGGCCCGGGATTCCAGGCATCCCTACCGCCACATTCCGTGCTCCGAGAAAGTCTCGGTCACTTCGCAATGTGGATCCCGTACTCCAAGTCAATGAAATTACTTCTTCTTAGGGACTCCTCCCTTTGCCATAACACGTTTTCCAGCCTTCCCCGCTGCTGGCTTCGCCCCTGGGCGAGATGAGGCTTTTGTGGAGGAAGCTATCTTCTCCGCCCCTTTGGCACCACCTGGATGAATGAAAAATGGAGAAATAAATGTCCAGATGGAAGCACAAGTGAAATCAGGAGAACGCTATGGTAAATATCGCACCACTATCTGTGCTGTTTTCCCCACTCCTCCCTATCACCTTCTCCTACCAGTATTGAAGGCATCTACGCCGGGCTTGAGGACAAGAGGAATGATGACACCGAAAGAAAGTGTGGCGATGGCCGCAACGGGCAAAGCCCAGCCAGGTGCTTGCACGGAGCCCCACCTGCCGGGGGAAGGGGGGGAAGGGAGGAAGGTGAGAGACAAGCCAGTCCGGCTAATCTATAATCTATAAGCGCACATCATAAGATCAAGTAAAATTATTTGTGAGAACCATCGTCGTAGGCCACGCCTATTGCCTTGACCTTTAGCCTTGATGAGTGCTGTTTCCTCCTGTCACTTCCCCTATTTCGCCGGACTTACGGATAGTCTCCAGCGTTCTTCACGAAGACATCATTCTCCTTCACGATGGCCAAGAGATTGCTAGTTCCTGTGGCAATGTCCTCTAATCGCGCGATGAAAAGGGACCATACATGCAAAGGATGAAGAAATGGAACGTGCGTTAAGACGAGGCACAGTTTCACACAGCCCGAGAGAGGGCAACTTGATCATCGTCTACGCCAAACCCATTGATTTCCCTTCACAGGCTTCTTTAAGAGCTACGCTTTCCGCTTGCATACCAGGAGAAAGCATCATGGAGGTTTGCGTCGTGCGAATGCGCGTGGGAGTGAAGGACGGAACGGGGGCAAGGAAAGCAGATGCGAAGCCCAGGCTGGCAATGAAAAGGCATACGGTGCGCATGATGAAGGCGAGTGGTAATGTATGACGGAGACTTGATACTGTTGAAAATATTTGTCCATGTGTATGTGAAGAAACGAACTGGATTTAGAACCGCTACCCTAGCTTTCAAGGGACATACTGACAGGAGGTGAGAGGAGACAACGCGAGGCTTTGCATGGGTTGCTCGTCCTTTAAAACCACTGCGCAGACATGCGGGTGCCTATTTACACACTAAGATCGGTCGCATTAGGATCTCATGGTGCAATGCCGTACAGGTCGTCAACAATTATGCCTTTTCAGGGGCAAAAAGGGAAGGATTCTTCCCGTCCCCGCTTCCGCCTGCTGCTTCCTAAAGCGACGCATGGGGATGGCTCGTTTATGAAAGACAACATACTTTATGCAGATCAACTAGCCAATTAAGTCACCAATAAGCCATAGAAGTTTCATTACTCATTGGCTACGTACGTCTTGAGTTCTACACGAGCCGCGGCGGGGGGAAAAAAGTTACCGCACATTGGATTGCACAAGCTCGTACGCAAGAGGCAGAAGCAGAAGCTTCCGCTTCCTTCATCAACCAGAGGGTCGTCTGCCTTTTCTGGCCCTTAAAACCTTCCTGCCGGGGTACGACGGGTGAGATTGGGGATACAATATGGTCAAGGGGAGGCCAATTCGTCATGACACGGATGGTGACTTGTAGATGCGGTTGAGGTTCAGCTTTATGGGGCGTCAAGACAACGCATGTGTGAAGGCAAGTGGTATGTGGCAGTGCGCCGACGGCGGGCTGTCACGGACGCCACAAGTCCATCGCGACAGAAAGTCGCACGCGTCCCAAAAGTCCAAATTGATGAACAAGAAAATTAATAGAAAAATAACCTGTGTTAAACATAGAGGTGTACTGCTGAGGTCGTGTAGAAATGGTGCATTAAACAGGAGCAGGGTCTATAATGGTGGCGAGGTATCAAGTGTGCTTTTTCGACCCTGTGAGAACAAATTTTTCACACGCGAAGGACTTTTTAATTGTTACAACTGAGCAGTAAAAACAAATAAGACACAGAGTAAGATACAACGACACAAAAAACGGTATTCGATTTTGTCCTTTTAATATGTGACGCACTGTTATCCCGATTGTCCATTTCTATCGTCCCCAGCTTGTAGTGAGCAGCCTCCATAAGGGTAAAAATATGTAATAGGGCTCAAATGTCCAACAGGATTGACTAAGGCAGATAAATTTCTTTCAGAAAGTAGTCTCGCAACCTGCTATTACCCAACTTAATTGGTTTGAGCGGATCAAGTCATCGCCTGAATTCTTCAATACATAACAGTTATATCCACGCACGGCTGCAAGTCCTTCGAGCAACGTGTGTTCTAGTCAAGTCATATGCATGTGTAGTTCAATACCCACACGGTCACAAAAACCTGTTGTGATCGTTTCATACACTGATCGCACCAAACCTCCCTCCATGTTTCCTTCGAGTCGCCTCTTTCGCCTTCCTTGACTCTGTTTCTCTTCCCAACTCATACTTTTCCGAGGATAAACATTGTCAACCCCTATTCCACCACTCGTAAAACAATCGCCTCCCCTCCTCAACCTTTCCTTTCAAGTATCTATACGGAATCTCAAGCTTGCGACTCCGTCCTAGTCGAAATACACCCCGTCCACTTTCTTTATGGGGCAAGCATCTTTACAAAACGCGGTGTCCTCACCACGTGAATTTGCTAATATATATGCAACTCTTCTCGAAAGCAGCTCGTCTTCTCCAGCATACTGATACACAGCAGTCGGGCGGGTTGCCCGTAAGGGAGGGCTGACTTGACAAAGCCACTACATCGTCGCTCCTAGGGGTAGCAGGGGCTGAGAGGCCATCAGACCCACCGCCACAGTAAAAGTCAACAACCAGCCCACCACAGCCGCCCTGCAGAAGACTCTCTTCACCTCCTCTTTCTTCCCTTCCTCCCTCCCATCCTCGTTCCCTCCTTCCTCGTGGCCGTCGAGGCTGCCCGAAAGCGGGAGGCAAGGGGGGGAAAGGGGGAGAAGGAGGGAGGGAGGGGAGGAGGCGGCGCGGGAACGACAGGGAGAGGAGAGGGTCCAGGACGAATAGGACGCTGTCGACGACGTGGAGGACAGCGACCGCTGGATCCACATCTCCTCCTCGTCCTCCCCTTCCTCCTCTCGCCCCTCCCCTTCCTCTCCCTTCCCTTTCCGTGTGACGAGGGAGCTTCCTCGGCTCATGGGCGTCGCAAAAGGGGAGGTGGTGCGAAACGCGC